GGGCCGACGCATACCTTGCAGATGTGATGGGATGGCAGCGAAGCCTTCAGGCACCTCCCTTCCAACCACCACCTCCTAACCCAAGCGAACCACCACCTTCGAACACGACCCCAGGTCCATCGAAAAAGAGACAAGTGGAGGAAATTGCTAGCTCTGAAGAAGATTGTCAACCGAAAAGAAAGATCAGAGTCACTCTTCGTAGACCCATAAGAGTGGAGGACGACCAACCCTCACCCCCTTCACCTCCTCGGATGGCTCGTACTTCGCATCTCCAATCCTCTCAACACACCTCCTCGGATCCTCCTCAATCCCTGCCCCCGTCTTCGATTCGACGCGCTCACGCTGCACCGGCACCCTCTCTTTCGAACCTCGAAACGGCTCGACGGGCTCACGCTGCTCCGGCACCATCTCTTTCGAACCTCAAAACGGCTCGACACGCTCACGCTGCTCCGGCACCCTCTCTTTCGAACCTCAAAACGGCTCGACGCTCGTCCGCTGCTCCGGCACCCTCCCTTTCAAACCTCGAAACGGCTCGACGCGCTCACGCTGCTCCGGCACCCTCTCTTTCGAACCTCGAAACGGCTCGACGCTCGTCCGCTGCGCCGGCACCCTCCATTTCGAACTCAGGGACTGCTCGACGCGCTTCCGCTGCTCCTGCACCCTCCATTTCGAACTCAGGGACTGCTCGACGCGCTCCCCCGGCTCCTCAGACCTCTGTTTTGCCTCAAGCCTCGCGAATCCCATTATTTAGATCTTTGCCAGTGGAAGAGGGGAGACAAAGCAATGAACAAGTCCAACTTCCACATGACAACCCGAGACACAGCGACCAACGAGTCCAATCTGCAGATCATGACGAGAGACACGCCGAAGAACATGGACAACCCGGAAAGGATGATACAAGACTAAACAAATCAGAGCATCAGCTCTCTCTTGAACCTGAATTTCTACAGGGTTTAAAAAACGAAAAGGCCAGGAGCGACCAGGGTGATGATCAAGACTCAGATGATAGCTCTATAGACTGGGGTGAAGCCAAGCCCAGCACGTTTGATGGTCAGCTGGTGGCGGAGCAGATGAAGAAGAATGTAAAAGATGTGATGAGGTTCATGGCAGGTAAAATGGTGGATATTGCTGCTTTTATCCCAGCTGGTAATAATTTCAAGAATTTCAAGGCTATACGTAGGGAGATTCAAGATAAGTGGAAGGAATATAAGGAAGATGTGAATGACGCCCTCAAGCCTTTACAAAAACTATAGATTGGATTTTCATTCTACTTCTTGTTTCCAGAAAAAATCCTCCTTAACTTTTTTCAAATTATCTACTAACTTGATTTCAAAAAAGATTTGTTTTCCAAAAAAAAGTATGTACTTGGCTTCAAAAATTCTACTAACTTGATTTCAAAAAAAATTACTTGTTTCCAAAAAGAAAATCTACTTATTTTCAAAAAAAGAAAATCTACTTATTTTCAAAAAAAGAAAATCTACTTGCTTTCAAAAAAAAAATTCTACTTGTTTACAAAAAAACCTGTTTTTTAAATATTGTTTTGTCTCACTTTTTCAATGAGTAAATCTACTTATTTTCAAGAAAGAAATTCTACTTGTTTGCAAAAAAAGTCTGATTACTTGTTTTTAAAAAAATGTTGGCGGTTCGTCTATTGATGTCGTATTTGTGTTTTTTAATCTTGTCGAAATTTGAAAAGATTCAAGCTGAAAGTGCTGTGCTTTCCAAGTTGACGTTCGAACTTCGAACTTCGAACTTCGAGTCCAATCTGATAGTTCGGAGTCCGGAGCTCTAGGTGTCATGAACCATGCAAGTTCTCAGTCATAAACGGCTGTTTTCATAATAAAGCTAAAAGGATTACATAATAGCTATCTCTACAAATTAATTTGTAGAGAACAGAAGGATTAAGAACAAGGAACATAGATAGTAGTATCAGTTATGGAAACTTTTTGTCGTATATATAGTTGTTGTTCTTTAGATCCTTTTTGCTCTTTTTCCTTCACTTTCATACACTTTTTTCAAATCAAATGTTTGTCATTTGGATCAGGGATTGGATCACAAGCGAAAATGTGAAATTCATTCGCAAATTGGATTGTATCGGATATGGTGGGATTGGGTCACAAGATGATCACCGATTTTGTATCGGGGGCAAGATTGCATCGGGGATGCGGGGGAGATGCGCCCTCGGGTGAGGGTCACGCGATGTGATGATTAAATCGCATTCAGGCTTGTGTCGGAAACATGCTGAGCGTGTTTGCATCGGGCTGAGGCTCAGTCGGATGCCACGCACGCGGTTTGAAATCGGAGCTGTGTTCGATCGGATGAGCCCGCCCGTTTTTGAAACGGACTGAACAATCAGTCGCGTGATGCGTGCCCGATTGCAGATTGGAAGTCTGTCAAATCGCATGACTTGGGCGCGATTCTGCATCGGGGCGCACTTTCCGAAATGACAACAGGGAGAGCTTTCCGACGTGAATTCCTTGGCGGTGAAGATGAAGACATCAGATTACAATGTTCAGCTTCCTGAGGCCTGTCTCAAATGGTGGAAGGTCAGTATACTGACTTAATATCTCTGAACAGGACAGTACAATTTTATAAAAATATATATGTTATTTCTTGTTACAGTTACATCAAAAGAGATATTGACTCCTGGCACTCATGGCCAGAGATTATTTGGCATCAACCGATCATTGTGTGCTGCAGAACAGATCTGCTCTTGCGCATCAGATGTTTGCTCTTGTAATTGAGGCAGTTTGATTGCCCGCACAATTGAAAGCTCAGTTTCAAGTAGGTTATGGTTGAGGGAAGGAGTAGATCTTGGCGCCGATTTTGAGGATCTTGTGCAGGTATTTAAAGCAATGGGAATTCCCATGAATTAAACTTGTTTTATTTTTCTATCTTGTTTTGGTTTTGCTCACACTCCTTTAACAGATAAATTTTATCTAAATATTTATTTACACTCCTTTAACAAATACATCTTACATCTTATTTCTTATCAGAAAGTGTTTTTTGGCATTTGGAAAAAAATCAAGTCTATCAATGCTCTTGCTTAACCCGATGTGGCGGCTGGGCCCCAAATTACCTAGTAAGAATATAACCTCACAATGAATTCTTGAAAACCGTACAGTGTACTCTTTACCAACATGTCATAAAGAACTTTTGAGAACAAAAGAAACCTATTTAAGTCATTTTCTTTATTTCACAACTTGACCTCACTCAACACCTATTCACCTATCACTGGGGTGAGAATAGAGTCGCATTTTGATGTGTGAGACATTAGTTGATCAATGTCAAGATGTGCTCACACAGCCGCAGTCACGCCACAGTCACGCCACAGTCACTGCAGATGTGTGTACCATACATGAATTTGATCAACATGTTCCTCACATATTGAAATGTGACTCGATCTTTGCTCCAGTGTATGTTGTTACTTATTTCAACTACAGATAATTGGTAAACCTTTTGATTAGTTTCACATGTGTCTGTGTCAGACATTGTAGCTTGAAGGGACAAGATTCAAGATTAAATTCCCTCATGTCCCATGAATCATTTGTCATTGAAAGACTGTTCACAGGCTAACTTAACCAAGTTCCCTTCTAGGGGCCAGGGGAAATAACACAACAAACTCCGGAGGCACAGACCGGGTTTGCCGCTTTGTGAAGCTGCTGGTGTTTATAGGGCAAGTTTCACAAGCAGTAGAGTCAGTCTAGCACCCTATGAAGGTGGATGCTTGTTTTGGTTATGAAAACAGTTCTTGTTGCTTGAATTATAATTCACAAGACAAAAAATGTATGTTTTGGTCAACTCAATCTTGAGATGAATTTACCCAGTCCTAGACTTCAAAGCAGCTCTTGCACTGAGATCCAATACAAATCTTGTGAGATTTTGACGGTGACTGAAAAACAAGTACCTTATAAAGGTATTAAAACAACAAGCTTCAGCTTTCGTGTTGACAAGACATGGCTGAGCACAGACGGGACAAGTGACAGACTCAACAGACCTGAACAAAGAAATAAAAATAAAGAGTTTAGAATCTTTTTCTTCGACCTAGCAGCAACCAAAAATAACCACAACAACAAACCTTATAAAGGTATTAAAACAACAAGCTTCAGCTTTCGTGTTGACAAGACACGGCTGAGCACAGACGGGACGAGTGACAGACTCAACATACTTGAACAAAGAAATAAAAATAAAGACTGAATCGAAAAGAAATCATAAACATATGTACGATAAAATACTTTATAAGAAGTAGCAATTTAATAAAAAGAAATAATACCTTACCTTTAGAATCTTTTTCTTTGATGGGGAAAAAGATTCTAGAGGCAGACGAGGCAAGGTTATAAGATGAAAAATAAGAAGCAACAAATTGAACAGAAAGATATTCAGGAAGTAAAATGATCATCACCACAAATTCAGTAAAATCACGAAACACTACAAACAGACACACTATCTTCATTTCAACACCAATCACACCACTTGACTTTCACATCCGACCTCGACAAATTTCAGACAGTTGCATTACTCCATTCTACACAAATCACCATGAACTCTCATGAGTGAGAAGAAATAAGTAACTTAAGTTCTTGACCATACACATCAACAGCTAACACTAAAAACTTGAAATGAAAATAAAAACTTGAAATGAAAAGTAAATCCAACAAATCTTTCACCAACATTCTACACTACAGTCAACTCTCGATGTAAGCAAGCTCAACATAGACATGTCTCGCTATATGCATAGGTTTTTGTGGGATTGTTTTTGGTATACATGGGCCCAATAGGCATATTATGCTTTTAAAATTATGCATCACACGATATAGGCAAGGAGTATCTGTCAACCATCGATAGGCTTACATCAAGAGTCGGCTGTACAGGCAAATATGCACCATGATGGTTGCATTTAATTTTGATGTGTTTATTCAAAAAAGTCACCATTGTTGCCTATTGTACAGATACAGCGGATAGATTTTGTTATTAGGATTTTGATAAGCGAAACTCTTGATTTAATTCATTGGTCCATTGAGTTTATAATCCAGTTCCTGGTCATCAAATGAAACAGTCAGTATGGATCTTCAAAAGACTTCCCTGTCAGTGATTTGTGTGATCCAAGAACAAAAGTTGAACTAACCAAAACTTCTAAAGCTGTCAAGTGATGAGTGATATGACATTGAACTCCTTGAGATTGAAATTCTTGGATTAATTCAGCATTAACAGCTTGATTTTCATGGTTTTCACCTCTAGTTAAGACTATATATTTCAAATTAGGTTCTTCCTTCAATTTATTCAAAACCGCCAGTCTTCTTGAATCCTTTTTCCAATAATCTCCAATCCAATAAAGGTCTGTCACAATTGTTCTAACGTTCTTCATCACTGGGAGGAGTAACCAGTGAACCGCCGAATCGATTCCGTCAGGCAGAAAGTAAGTTCGCATGACTCGTAAGTTTGGAAAATTGAAGAGTGCAACATCTCCAAGTTGATGGGTTAATGAGAAGGTATAGAGACCTTCCAATGTATCTTTGATAGGTTCGAAAATGTGCTCTAAACTTTTGACACATTGGAAATCAGCAAGAAGCTCGATGATCTTCAATGATTTTTTTGCAGCTTGAGTGACATGAAAATATTCTTGTAATTTATAGTCAGCTGATGAAAAAGAAAAGCAGCATAGATTTGATAAAGCCGGAGGTTTTAGATCTAAACTGTTCGGGATATCATTAAGTGATAAACACTCAAGTTTAGGTACTGCTGAGAGTAATTCTGATATTGAATCTGCATCGTAACTTCCCAATCCAGGCTCTAGGCGACATTCAATAGGGATATATAGTGATTTTAAATTGTTGATTGTTTGTACAGCCTTGATAAGACCAGGAGAGACTGCCATACAATTTAAAAATCTAATATCCAAAATCTCCAAGTTTATACCCAGTAATTCAATCAATCTTTCTAGTTGATACACTGAAACTCCCTGTGCTTCCATGCAATCCGAAGATTTAACCCCGGGCACTCGAAGCCCATAAGCACTTTTTGTTGACCTCTTTCTGCTTTCAGCTTCTTGTTCCGGATACCAAAGTTTTTTGACTGTAAGCCTTTGAACCGGACACTGAAAAGGTTGAAATAAATCGCCATTCCAATTGTCTATAATCAACTTGGCACGCTTTGAACAATTTATTGTAATTTCTTGAAAATAAAATGGTATTACAACCTTTGACCAACTTTTAGAGATTAATCTCAACTTGATCAATTCTGTCCAAGATGAAGTTTCCAGGCGAACTTGCGAAGCCGCTGAATCAAGTCTTTTGTGCTCAAGTGTTGGTTCTTGGTCTAGTTTTTTGATGAACTCCTGTAGAATTTGAGTTATAATTTCTAAAGGTAATCTGTCCAGTCGATTCATAGTATCTTCCGAGTCACACTTTGTCCTTCAAAACGATACGTCAATTTGATTTATCTAGCCAGCGTCTTCGAGGGTTCTTTCGAGCTTGTCTTGCCGAGTATTCGATCAATTTGTGGGTGATGACATACGTAGTTTGGTGATGAGTCTGATGATTGATGTGATTGTCATCAATTTCCGATTCACCATTGAATAAATATGTTCTTCTTTTCGTAATTAGATCTGGACTAGGCACTTATGTTTTTAATCTTGACCAGATCACTAAGTTCTCGTTACGCTAAACCCATACCTTCCTGTTTTGGTTCAAACCGCATTAGCTTATATTTTGATACAGACCAATGAAGTGGCGCAGTAATACACAATGACTTGGTGTTAGAGATGGAAAGGGTATGGATAGGAATGACTGGACTTTTTGTAGCGTGTGCTGAGTGATAACTTTGTAAGGCCCGTATAAGACCTTTTGTATAAATAGTGTCTCAATGTAGCCATGTATTTCTCTTTTTCACTCACTCATTCTCGCTACTTTCTCATTCGTCCTTAACCTTCCTAACTCTTCCCATCAATTCTCACATCGTCAGGTGTGTATTTCAGCTTTGTTGTCGACTAAGTTCCAACAAAAGCCTTCAACTTACACTAGCGCTTTTAGGTCTGCTTTTTGTTACTTTTTCTATTTCTCTGTTTTCTTATTATGATTGTATGAAAAACAAACTCACTCATTCTCGCTACTTTCTCATTCGTCCTTAACCTTCCTAACTCTTCCCATCAATTCTCACATCGTCAGGTGTGTATTTCAGCTTTGTTGTCGACTAAGTTCCAACAAAAGCCTTCAACTTACACTAGCGCTTTTAGGTGTGTATTTCAGCTTTGTTGTCGACTAAGTTCCAACAAAAGCCTTCAACTTACACTAGCGCTTTTAGACCATATTTTGGTTTTTGCCACTTTCTGCCCTTCCCAGATTCAGGAGCATACAAAACATTATCAGTACTCTACTCTCTCAAAAATGTCAAATTCAGCTCCTAACTCACCACACCGACAGTCCGGAAAAGTGCCATCAGCCAGTTTCCCAACAAACTTCGGTCTTGCTTCAGCTGTGACTGCGTTAGCTGCGGCTCCAGCTGGCATACGTATGCAACTTACGGACACTAATTATGCCGTTTGGACTACGTGGATGGAGAGTGAATTAGATAATTTAGGAATTTGGAATGTAGTCGATCAATCTTATGTCTTACAAGAAGACCCGCCCGCTGAAGATCTTGTTAACTATTCAAAACTCGAACGAAAAGCGTACAACTTTATCGTTCGACATCTGGACGAAAACAATTTAGCTTTGGCCACGCAATTTGCTGCCAAAGCGTCTTCTAAAACCGGGGCTGGTCTCTGGAATCATCTTAAGGAAAAGTACATGCCCAACAATGTATTTCATCAAACTCATGTTTTGCACACTTTTCTTCACATCAAGTATTCTACGTCTCTTCAATTTACCAAAGAAGTACGAGAATCTATCGCCACGCTTTCTAGAATCGGTCTCGATATTCCTGAGCGGGTCCTCGTCGTTTTGGTCCTTGCTCGACTTCCTCGAGCCATGGAGTCTTTCATTTGTGTGATCTCTCACTCGATGAGTTCCAAGACCACCGTTAACTTCGTTTTGAATCGTCTAGAACAGGATGCTCATTAACAATCCACTATGGATGACTCTGCTAATTCCACCGCCTTAATCTCCGCCGGAAACAAGAACCCCGGACACGTTTGTACCCACTGCAAACGGCCTGGTCATCTGGAACCGAGATGCTGGATAGCACGCCCGGAATTAAAACCGACTTATTCTCGAGGACGCAAAGTTGCTGCGGCCGTCGCTCATGCGAAAACTCCTGTTGCTTCTGGCTCTACTGCTCATACTCCTGGACCGGCTGCTATTTACGCTGGTATGAACCTGGACGATCCCTTGTCAGCAAAATCTCTTTTACCTCCAACTACCGCTCTCAATGTATCACTCACTCATGTTTCTACGCTTCTCGACTCAGGGTGTTCTGATGTGATGTACGTCAGCCGGGAATCTTTCTCGGACTACTCAGAGTTTTTATGTGATATCAACATTGGAGAGGTTGGGAGGACTGTTCAAGCTGTTGGAAAAGGGATCGTTACTGTTGAAGGAGCTGGCGGTGTTGTTACTTTTGAAAATGCACTTCATGTCCCTGTTTTACCTTACAACCTTATCCCACTTTCTCTCCTATGGCAAAAAGGCTCTCAAATTCTTTATCATGGTGATGACTCTTTTTCCGTTGTTCGTGGCGACAAACTTGTTTTTGATGGTGTTGTTAAAAATCGTCTACTTTTTCCAAATATTTCTATTCATCTATCTGTCAATAAAAATCCAATTTTTTCTTTCAACTTATGGCATGATCGCCTTGGACACATCAATCAAGATTATTTGAATTCTACCGCTTTGCAAACTGAAGGTCTAGATAGTGTTCCTGCCAAAGATTTCTGCGAATCCTGTGCTATTAATCGCTCGACTCGTCTTCCCTTTTCTGGTAAAATACCACATCCTTCTTATCCTCTCGACTTCATTCACACTGATCTTTCTGGTAGAATAAATCCTCCAACACCATCAGGATACAAATACTTCATGAAACTAACTGATGGTTGTACATCTTATCGCTGGATTTATCTTTTACGATTTAAAAATGAAGCTTTGGATAAATTTAAGGAATGGAAGGTGCAAGCTGAAAGGATGACAGGTCGAGTGGTAAAGAAGCTTGTTAGTGACGGTGGAGGCGAATACGTCAATAACGTATTTAGTGAATACCTCAAAACTGAAGGAATAACACATGATATCACCGCATCTCACACTCCTCAACAAAATCCCTTCTCTGAAAGGGGCAATCGGACCACTAATGAAAAAGCTCGGACAATGCTTCATCGCGCATCTATGCCTGCTTTTATGTGGGGTGCTGCTGTACTCACGGCTGTTTATCTTGAGAACAGAACTGTTTCAAAGTCTTGTGCAGGTATCACTCCGTTCGAAGCTCTGCATGGCTCTATACCATCAATTGGCCATATCCGGATTTTTGGATGTGCTGCTTTTCGACACCTCACTCACGGTAGAGATGGAAAGTTCGGTCCTCGAGCTGAGAAGATGATTCTTGTAGGGTTTGTTGAAGGAATGAAAAATTACCGCCTTTACAACCCATCAACAGGAACTATTTTGACTTCTCATGACGTTCGATTCAATGAAGCTGAATTCCCATTTTTAGAACTCTCCAAGGATCCTTCTGCGGCTATAGTTCCGTTTACAGAAGAAGATGTTTTAGGACGAGAACCGTTACGAGTCCGGCTTCACCAACCAGTTCTTGCCGAAGAAATAAGACAAGAGCGAGGAATACTTACCGCCACAGCTTTAATTTCCATTATCGGCAATTCCATCGATGAATCTGCAAACCTTTCAACTCTTGATCTTGAACCTAATCCCCCTACATACCTGAAAGCTCTTCTTACCCGTAATTCTGAAAAATGGAAGCGAGCAACTTTTGACGAATTCGATTCTTTTGCTGCAAATCACGTCTTTGAAATTGTTGACAGCATTCCTTCAGGTCAAAAACCTATCAGCACTTGTTTTGTATACACTCGGAAGTTTGACGACTCTGGATTTCTTAATAGATTTAAGGCCAGATGTGTTGCTCAAGGCTTTCTCCAAGAAGAAGGTAAAGATTTTGAAGAAACTTTTTCTCCTACGGGTCGTCTTGCTACCATGCGTGCTTTATTCGGACACGCTGCAACGGACGATCTTGAAATTCAACAAGCCGATTTTGTTACGGCCTTTCTCAATTCCAATCTTCCTGAAGGTGAAACTGTGTTTATTCTCATACCCGATGGTTTTGTTGATTGGGTCAAACAGTTGCCCATGGATTCTCCTTTTTGATCATGGCTTCCGGCATTAATCTCTCGTTGTGGATCGTTATATCTTAAACTTCTCCGTTCGTTGTATGGTCTGAAACAGGCCTCGCGTAGCTGGTATTTAACGATTAAGGGATGGTACTACAAACATGGGTTTGTGGTTAGTGATGCGGACGCTTGCTTATTTGTGTATGTTGGAAAACGTGGTGATAGGGTGTTTGTCTACATGTGGGTCGATGATATTGTTCTGGTTGGAAAGGATGTTGGATGGGTGCTTGATGAATTAAAGAAGGATTTTCGAATTAAAGATTTAGGACCGGTAAAGATGATGTTAGGTATGCGAATTACAAGGAACAGAGAAGACAGAATACTCTCAATATGCCAATCAAGATATATCGAAGAATTATTGAAGGTATACGGCATGGAGGACTGCAAATCTCTTGGTAATCCTCTCCAATCTAACTTAGCTATATTACCTGGTACTGAAGACGAAGTCCTAGCTTTTCAATCAAGCGGTCTCAATTTCAGGAGGGCAATTGGCTCTCTCAACTATCTTTCTCAGTGTACTAGGCCTGATCTCTCTCACCCCGTCAGCATATTATCTCAATTCCTCGACAAACCAACTATGGATCACTGGGGTCATTTCAAACGTGTCCTTCGTTATTTGCGAGGAACCACAAATCTATGTCTAACCTATGGCGTTCAACCTGTTAACGAAACACTTCTTAAATTTCAGCCTGATGTTGCCGGGCCTCCTGTTGCCTTTTCAGACTCACATTGGGCTGGTTGCACTATATCTCGGAGGTCCACGTCTGGTTACACTTTTATCTTCAATGGTGGTGCAGTTAGTTGGTGCTGTAAAAAACAACCTACTGTGGCTTTATCCTCTACCGAAGCGGAGTATAAAGGCTTTCTTGATGCTGGTCAGGAAGGCATGTGGATCAGGAGGCTCATGTCGGATTTTGGATACGATCAACTAATTTCTACTACCTGTTTGGTGATAATCAGGGATCAATTGCACTATCCCGTAATCCAGTCTTTCATGGGCGTACTAAACATATTGAAATACAATTTCACTGGATTCGGGAGAAAGTTCAAGATAAAAGTATTGACATTAAATACTGCTCTACAAATGATATGATTGCAGATATACTTACTAAATCACTCGATAAATCAAAACTTCAGCAATTTAGACGAGATCTAGGTTTGATTGAAGAAGGTAGTTTAGCTAACGAGGGGGGGTTTCGTAATTAGATCTGGACTAGGCACTTATGTTTTTAATCTTGACCAGATCACTAAGTTCTCGTTACGCTAAACCCATACCTTCCTGTTTTGGTTCAAACCGCATTAGCTTATATTTTGATACAGACCAATGAAGTGGCGCAGTAATACACAATGACTTGGTGTTAGAGATGGAAAGGGTATGGATAGGAATGACTGGACTTTTTGTAGCGTGTGCTGAGTGATAACTTTGTAAGGCCCGTATAAGACCTTTTGTATAAATAGTGTCTCAATGTAGCCATGTATTTCTCTTTTTCACTCACTCATTCTCGCTACTTTCTCATTCGTCCTTAACCTTCCTAACTCTTCCCATCAATTCTCACATCGTCAGGTGTGTATTTCAGCTTTGTTGTCGACTAAGTTCCAACAAAAGCCTTCAACTTACACTAGCACTTTTAGGTGTGTATTTCAGCTTTGTTGTCGACTAAGTTCCAACAAAAGCCTTCAACTTACACTAGCGCTTTTAGACCATATTTTGGTTTTTGCCACTTTCTGCCCTTCCCAGATTCAGGAGCATACGAAACTTCTTGGTTCTTCGTCCACGAAGAGCGCAGTCGAAAGAGTCGAAAGGCGTTTCAACTTCCAAGCATCACAAGTACCGATTGAACTTCGGGGCTCAGCGGGGCCGAGGAGTGCCAGCAACTAAAGTGCCTTTCGCTTTGAGTTTGATGGACAAGCTTTTGAAATTTGTTTTGCTCTCTGGACTATTCCGTTATCGCTTGCATTGAATCTCATAGCCAGAAGGCCAGTATCCTGAATCGTTCAAATCAATTTTACGTCTTCGCATGACTCCAGCTTTTATCTGAAACTGCTATCAACGCAAACCGAATTTCATGGAATTTGATTCAAGTCCAAGCTCACAAAGGTGAAGAACATGTTCGCTTGATCCGTGTGGAAGTCATTTCTGTTACTCGCTGCTCTAGCAATGCAGTGCTTAGTTTGACTGTGTTTGGAGGATACAACTGTTCCGAGCTCAGATTGGTTTTCTATCATGCTACCCCCAGTCCGAGCGCCGTTGGAGATCATTTTGATCGTGCGTATCACAACCTAAAGGGTATAACATACATATGGTGTAGCCTTGAACACTTTCAAAGCTATTTACTTGATCAGAGAAGTATGAGAAGTGTGATCGCAGCTCGTAATCCACATACATTGTAACAGTGTCAGCGATCGGTATATACATCGAATAAATGTGATCGAGCAACATGATACAGACAGGATGCCATGAACAAGTTGAGTGGACGCTTTGGCAATATAGGGGTCTGCCTTGATCAATGTTTGCTATGCATTGCCATATACCGCACCAGGAACAAAGTAAGCGCTAGTGATGAGTTGAATTGATCAGACTCGACCAGTGTTGCCCAGCCTATCCTGTCTGTGTAAGAAGATGTGTTTGGTCGACAGACTTTGTTGTTGCTTTGTGTTGCGCAAATGTGACTGCTACATTTTTCCTACTGCTTTGTTTCTTGGGCTGTCTGTCTTGTCATCGACTGCGGACGATCACTTGGGGAGCTGGGTTATGAGGTTTCTATTGGCTTTCTTGGGAAATAGGAAAAAAATCCACGAGTTTGCCGTGCTGAATTGATGTTGCAGCTTAATAAAGTTTTCCTGCTAGGAAAACAAGTACCTTGCGTGTCCACTCGAATAAATTTGATTTCCGATGAACGATAAATGAATAATAACACTTGGGTTCTTCCCTCTCCTCCCTTGGCCAAATAATGAGGTCAGCCATCGTCCGAGCGGTATCAAGATCCACGTAAAATAATTCTTCACTCACAGTCGAGCCTGGAAAATGGATATATTGAGTCGGGCCGAATAAAAGTTGAATGCGTATCTGGAAATGTATATCATTTAACGCAACCTCTGAGCCTGTACACTTTGAAGGAAGTCAGCATAACTTGTGATTCAAAATCATGTTCAGCGAAGGAACTCTGAAAGCTGTGCATGGAAAATTATTCTATCGGTCCTAACTCAACTGATCAAATGTGAACGGGCATTGTTGAGAGGAATCATGATACATTGAGAACAAGTTTCGTAATTCTCCATTTACGATAGAGCTTGAAAGAAAAGCGTGAAAGGATTGATTCAGCATCTAAAAAGCATTTGTGTATTTAAAAATGTCTGGAAATGCATAACATTTCTACACAAAGGGGGTGATTTCAGCCTGTACATCTTGAAGGAAGCTGGTATGACATGTGATGCCAAATACAATTCGGCTCAGCACATACTATCCATGAAAAGAGGTTAATGCTGATAAAGAGAGGGTGACCAAGTACTGGATGCTGATGATGGATCAGCTTCAAAGCAGTATAAAGCTTTTGCAACTGGCTGTTTGAAAAACATCACATCCTTCCTTCTTACTGTTGATTTCACCACCTATCAGATCACCAACCATCTTTTTGATACATCATTAAAATCTTCTTTCTATCACACCACTCTCCACTTTCTTCTTTCCACCTTTTCATCAATGTCACAATCTACACCAACACTCCGTCTTACTCAGATCTTTTAAACTTTATTCACTTTATTCAAACTATCTTAGACGATCAAGCCTCATCTGACAACATTCCTCATGAGCGACTTTTACCTTCTTCTATTCTTCACATTCTGGATGCAGAATCTTCAATCCTAGATACGAGGTCCGCGATACCTGGGGAGACGACGAGGTGGAAGTTTGGGTCAAAGCGACGGGAACCTGGAATCGTATTATTCATGATCTTGAACCAATTCTCAGAGAATATGGTGTAGAAAAACCCTTAGTTTATTATCTTCCCGAACGTGGTTCTCCAGAATGGTTTGCTCTTTATGTTTTTGTTCGTCATACTGCCGATTTCTCTCATGTTGTTCATCAGACCTCTGACTTACCAGAAGAAGATCAAGACAAGTGTCCTATTTGTGCTGGTATCTTTCAAGCTGGTGATCGTTACATTCCTCTCTCTTGTCATGCTTCTCATTGTCTCCACGAAGCTTGCTTGACTGAATTGGCGGTACACTCTCGCGACTTCTTATGCCCCCTATGTCGTGAACGTCCATACCCTGAGTAGAAACATATATATCAATATTGTCTTTTCATTCTCATATACATCTTATATTTATTTAGTATTTTTGTAAATCCAAAAGTAAAAAATTGTATTCTCGTGATAACTAGGGCGGTAACTGGGAGCTTGTTCATCAATCTTCAAACTCGATATCTTCAATTTGTATCTTTAACGACATTTCAAAAACCATTCAATACTATAGACTAAGACCATAATGTTTTGAAATTCCTTTTGAATCAAAGAGCGTGGGTTACATTCATTCAGACGGTTCTGACAAGACCAGTGAGCAACCTTCGAGATTCCGAGTTCATCTTCCCTTCATCTCGATTCTATATTGCCATTATGTGCCTAAGATGTGTACTAAGCAGCGCTGAGTCAATTAAGAGTTGGTAGTTTCCTTCAATGAATCTGGTCATGATACGATTCCATATATCATACAGTACACATCGTTTGAAAGCATCGCCATCCGAGTCTCGCAGCTCGTGAAGTCCGGAAACCAGGCTAATTTTATTTCCAGCCCTCAACGTCGACTCCTTACTATTCTGGCTTGGGTATGTATAGTATCTTCGTGAAAGAGGTTGGGCTGAAAACTTTTGCTGGACTCCGAGCTGATACTCTAACTTTTTTGTTGACAAGCTAATCAGTGATGTTTGAAATTGCATCACATTTAAGCGTTCAAGTCACCAAGGAGCCACTCTCCAACGATGAAAGCGGTTGAAGTTGGTTTTATAGTCCTCCTGTTATCTTGAGCATATAGATGGATTTCGGCTCCTTCGAAACGTTTTCAACCAAACCGCAGGTCTCATTGTTGGAATCTTTGAATCCTCACTCTCAAGATGAAACTAGCTATGTACTGCGGGGCTATTTTTTGAACCATAGATGGATTTATCCTACACTTGAGATACTATCAATTAAGACACCACATTGGATAACTAAGCTATACAATTGGAGTCGCTCAGATTTGTTCAAGCAAAGATGTCCAGGTATTATCATTGCAATTATTTGCTTGTTGAAAAACTGGAACTGTTAGAAATACAACGGAGAATGAGTGGGGATTTGGATAAGTGAATCTGATGATCAATCACATTGGACCATTCAGTTTATAATCTAGGTGCTGTTCATCAAATGAAGAAGTCAGTATAAAATCAGCAAAGACTCTATGAATAGTGATTTGTATGAAAGAATTCAAACACACCATGACTTCGCTAGGGGTCAAGAGATGAGTGACATGGCATTTAATTCCATGAGATTGAAGTGCTTCGAAGAATGTAGGAGTGATAGCCTGAGTTTCAATTTTTTCATTTCTAGTGAATACAATATGTTTCAAATTAGGCATTTTCTTCAAAGCATCCAAAAAAGCTGATTGAGGAGCCCATTGCCATTGCCAATCTTTTTTGCTCGAATAGATGTCTGTAACAATTGTTCTCACATTCTTCAGAACCGGAAAGTGCAACCAGTGAATACCTGATGCTGGTTGCTCAGGAAGAAAGTAAGTTCTAATGACTCGTAAGTTTGGAAAATCTAAAAGTGCCACATTTCCAAGTTGATGAGTAAATGAGTATGTGTAGAGACCTTCTAGCGTATGTCTAATGGGTTCAAAAATTGGTTCTAAACTCTCAACACAACGTTTACCAGCAAGGAGTTCGATAAGCTTTAATGTATTTCTTGCAGTCTGAGTGATACGAGAATATCCTTTTAAATCACAGTCACCTGATGACACTACACGAAATATAATATTTTCTGGGCAGAAAATTAAATTATTGATACACAAAAATATTGAGAGGCCAGGAGAAGGGCAAAAAATAAATAAAAATATGCATCTTGTTCCCTGGGGTGAGAGCTTCACTCTCCATATTTTTCCATATTTTTACAGTCCGTATTGATAAGTGTACTAACAATAAACCTTCATAATCATCCAATTACAACCTGTAACAAGCACTGAAATTTGGCTCATTAGTGTTTAGAGAAACTTTTGATTTCTGAAAACACCTATAACTTTGTCAAATCTGCCTCCAAACACTCGTTTTTAAGTGCATTAGAAAGCTGAACTCTTCCTCTCAAACTTTCATAAGATCAAGAACTATGTAGCTAGTATGACAATCATTCTATGGATCTGTATGTACAAATGTATAAAAAAGATGATATCTTTTTTAGCAGACCAGCATGCTGTGTGGTCCTATTATGAACTATTTGGAGGACAATTCCAGCTTACCAATGCACCCAAAATCAAGCGTTTTGGACCGGAATTGAAAAAGTTATGAGTATTTTCAGAAATCAAAAGTTTCTTTAAACACTGATTAGCCAAATTTCAGTGCTTGTTACAGGTTGTAATTGGATGATTGTGAAGGTTTATTGTTAGTACACTTATCAATATGGACTGTAAAAATATGGAAAATATGCAGAGTGAAGTTCTCAACACAGGGAACAAGATCCATATTTTTATTCATTTTTTGCTCTCCTCCTGGCCTCTCAATATTTTTGTGTATCAATAATTTAATTTTCTGCCCAGAAAATATTATCTTTCTTGTAGTGTGAAAAAGAAAAGCAGCGCAAACTTGATAAAGCTGGTGATTTTACATTGAAACATCCTGGGAGATTATAAAGCGATAAACACTGAAGTTTAGGGATCACTAAGAGTATTTCTGATAATGAATCTACATCGTAAGTTCCAAGTTTTTCACCGGGTTTAAATGAGATGTATAACGATTTCAAATCTTTGATTGCTTGGATAGCTTTGATCAAATCAGGAGAAGATTCCATAGAGTGGATAAGTCGGATTTTCAGGGTCTTCAAGTTTGACCCGAGTAAATCAATCAATTTTGCTGATTGATTTAATGAAACTCGCTGTGATCCCTTGCAAGTTGAACATTCACACACAAGTACTCGACAGTGATCAGCACATGTTGTTGATATTTGCTTACCGCCGACTTGCTGTTCGGAAGACCAAAGTGCTCGAATTGTGAGTCTTTTGACCGGACAGTCAAGAGGTTTGAATAAATCTTCACTCCAATTGTCTATAAACACTTTTGCGCGTCTTGAACCATTGATTGAAATTGCTTGAAAATAAAATGGTATGATAGCTTTGGACCATGTTCTGGAGATCAATCTTAAATTTATTAATTCTGTATATGATGAAGTTTGAAGCTCGAATTCCGAAGCCGCTGATCCAGGTGTGCAATTTCCAGGTGTTCCATCTTTCTTGTCTAATTGCTTGATGAGCTCTTGTAGGATTTGGTTGATGATTTCTATTGGTAATTCGACAAGTGCATTCATTGTCGAAGCCAAGTTCTTTCAAACGGCGATTCGACCTGTGAAATAAAATGTGCTGATTGCTTTCAGGTTACCTGGTACTCGACAATCTTGATATGTTGTACAGCTCCCCGCCAAACTTTTACGTAAGATTTGTTACATTTTGACCTCAGCTCAGAGAACTGTGGTTCTTGAACCCTACTGAATCAACCTGAATCAACACACCTTATCTGTCCTAATATATTGAAGACTAACGATTTTTTTGGTTCCAACTTCGAGGGATCACAATTTTACTGGCTTGAACTTCCAATGTTAAAGAATATCAGAACAGTTTTTGTAGACTTTAGCTGAGAATGAAAAGTTGTGGGAAGAATTTTCAAAATCTGCTGATCTGGATGCTTTCAAGAAAATACCCAATTTCAAACACATCTTCTTCACCAAAGGGAAATATCCGAATTATCAAACTATTAATCCTAAAGTACTTGAAGCGTGCAAGATACGTGGAGTTCAATGTCATCTTACTGAAGATTCAACCCCAGATGAAATCATGGTTTGTCTAAATTTTATTCTAATATTTCAAGAGCAAAATCTTAAAGATTTCATGCTGATTGCTGCTTGATGATCAGGAATTGGACTATACATTACACGGACCTATGAGATCAATTATTGGGTTCACCCAAGTCTTGTTTCACTGGGAAAATGTAGTATTTTTCTCAAGTGAAAAATGATTGACCTGAAGGACAAACAAAATTGAAAAAGGTGGAATTTGCATTCATTCTGCATGTGCATTAACACTGCATTTTTCTGCATTGATGCTGCATTTTTTTTCATTAATGGTGCATTAATGGTGCAGTTTTATGCATTGACATAGCATTTTTAATCATTTTTGACATCAATTCTAACCATTTTGCATAGCCAAAAAATACCACAACTGTGCAGTGTTTGAAAGTGAAAATTCCTTGAACTGGCTGTGTTTGATTTATAACATTTCTATCAAGTTGAAATTTATATGATGAAGTAAATATATGCATTAATGGTAGCTTGTCTTGACATGTTTCAAGTTAGTACTTTTCAAAATCTTTGTGAAGACTTTATTGCCAATCTTCAATACTATGGTTAGTAGTAACAGCATAGCAAAACAGGATCTCCACAGTTTTTCTGTTTCTTTCTTGTCTTTGTAAAGAGAAAGCAAATATTATTATTCCCCGTCTTTTCTCAACAATGATATTGTTGTATTTGTTTCCTGCCCTTGCCACCATTATTCATTACCTTTCTACTTCCCAACACTTGACTGCGTAAATTTACTTTCTCAAGAAGATCCAACAAAGTGAATTTTTTTACCATCAAACATGACGGTGTGTTGGATCCATTATTGGAAAAATACACAAAGCATATTGATGTCATAAAAAAGATAATGAAAAAACAGTGCTGTTTGCAATGGTTAAATGAAGATTCTTATAAACTCTAAATGAAAAAAAGTACAGACCTAATGATATCAACAAATTATGCTTAACCAACTTGCAAGTAATGAAATTGTATACCAATTTATCTTCAGCATACAACATTGAACTAATATTACTTTTCGCCTTTTCATCCTTTGATCCCCCCAAAAAACAAACCAATAAAGTGACCAAGATTGAGATGTCTCAAAATCAATCACTGTTTAGGCTCCTGATAATTTGTTAGTCTAGCAACACAAACCACAAAACAGCTGTTCAAAAACCGGTCAAATTAGTATCAAGCTGAAGGTTAAGCATTGGGCATAAACACAACACAATGGACCTACCATATGGAGCCAGGAAGGCAATCCTGACATGACGAGCAAATGATTGCAGCGCAAGCCAAACATTGACGTCGCCCTTCCAAGATTCCAAACTTGTGATTGCATACCATACAGATTGAACTGACCGCTTATAATGAAAGAATCATTCATTATTGACGTTCTAGGCTGCTTTTAGGTCTTTTGCTTACCATCAGGGATTGGTACAGCGGAGCCTGGCAAAGCCCAGGGGAATAGTCTTCCTAGTGCGTCTCCGACAAGCATGACTTGATTCGACAGAGCCAAAGCAGTCACAGGGCAACCTGACTCTTGCTGGAAGACATGTATGAGATCCATCTTCCAAGCTGAGATTTTGTCGCAAAAATCACAAAGACATCAATGAAAAGGTTGAGTTTACTTGAATCTCACCAGATAGGAGATGAGACATACGCTTTGACAAACTCTCCGCATGCGCCTTTTCCTCTGCCACATCATAATTTTCCCACTTCAGTGGCCAGTGATTTTTACATTTTCAAATTTCCCTAGCCCCAAAACAAAAATTGTACCTCTTGAAATTATTTATAACCTGGTACTCTTGGCTTCTTAATAGTGTGACTGGTTGTGTACATATTTATATAAGTTTTTCACGGCTTGAAACCAAAAATCGGGTAATCTTGCCTGATCCAAGGCTGAAATTTGAATTTTGGTGCAGCCTTGAAACACCAACTTCCCTATCTATTTGCAGAACCATTCCACCTATCAGGATTCTGAAAGTGTTGGGTTGTAGCCAAGAGCGAGGCGCACATCTTTCATTCTTGGCTCAGGAAAGTTTAGAATGGTAAAAAAAAGTTTTGTAAGGCAGGTAGATTTTGGGAAAATGCCCCGACGACCTTGATGCCAACTTTTTGACATTGTGCGTAAGTCCCTTGTTTGAGCTGGCCAGTACAGGCCAGAGAGGGACTTGGTTAAGTTTGTTCAGGACTACACCATTGAGCTTCATCATACAGTCTCGTTTGCAGGATGATGTTCCAAACTTCCGCCAGGACCCCGGAAAGCTCCCCCTGAACCAACCGACGTAAAACCCGGATTTTGAGGATTTTCATACCCAAAAATCCCGGACTTTTGGAGCTTTCATACCAAATTGGTTGGTAACATTTCAGTACCAAAAGTGAGCCCCGGGCTACAAAGCTATGTTTTGGTGCCATTGAGTGCCAAAAACGTTGGTATGAAGATGAGATTTTAAAAATCATACCGGGCACGTCTGTAAGATGAATGACTAACAAACCATTTTCATACCAGTTTGGTAGGTAACATGACCAAATCTTGACCACTCAAATCATACCAAACACGTCGGTAGGTTTAAGGGGAGCTTTCCGGGGTCCTCTTCCGCCTCACGCTCGCACCCGAAGCCACGAAGTCTCGTGGCGCCACGGTAGGGCATCAAGTCCAGCTAAGCCCCATAAGGAGAGGCTTAAGGGTGGGGCAGTGACCAAAATTGAGCTTGGCAATCATCAAACGTTCTCATTTCATGATACCATTCACAATATAAAGTTGCTTTCTTTTGATTCTCTGCTCAATAAGTTGATTACAAAGACTCAAGAGATGATAGTAAAGCGAGCCAAATAAAAGATATCAACAATAGAAAAACTTACAATTCACTACACTCAAATAAAAATCAATTATCCACAATTGATCATCCCAAAGAAAGGGTAACAAAGTCAGTAAGCGTAAAAGGTAGAACGAGAAATGGAGAGATCAATGTAAACATAAACAAGAAATGCTAGTGGATGAGTCGCATCTGTTCCATAGACAGAGATTTGGATTGAGGGAGATTGAGAAATCCAGTAAACGCCCGATAGCGTGTTGTGTTTTCTCAAATCCGCGCCCCAGATCATGGCGCCATCGTGGCGCCACCGTAAGGCCCTGGCTAGAAAGGGCCTGACCGTGGCCGGCCACGCCGGGTGCAGACCATGGCCACGGCCATGCCCTGGGCCACAAAAAAGGCGCCGGGTGTGAGCGTGACTTCCGCCTCATTGAAGTTCTTTGAGGCTGCTACGGTGGCGCTAAGGTGCCACATCAGTCACTTGCTTAAAAAGAGCAAAAATCGATTACTGGCCCCATTAAAAAAACCCTTCCCAGACTATGCCGACCCTGGCCCGGCTTGGTCCGCTCCCCTCTCGACTATGCTCAGTCCCTGAGCTCATTTTTTTTATTCTAGTTTCATCCAAGTTATTGTACACCCTGCCATCAGTAGCCATTTACATCAGGCACCCTTGTTCTCGCTCTAGGCCAGTATTGACTGTTGATGGACGGGAGTGCCTCGACAGCCGCCCCCATATATAGTTAAGTCCAACCACATTTCATCCGACCCTAACACCAATTCCTCTTTTTTTCTCACTTTTTTGTTTACTAACACAAATTTATCATCTTTTCTCCCAATTACTTTTGTCTTTCATCGTCTTCAAACCTCAAAATGAATAGTCACACGTGCTCAGCTTGCCATTTACAGGCGCCATCATTTCGAGGTCTCTGTAACTCTTGTCTTGACATTCGACTTGGAGGGGGTTCCAGCTCTCCCACCCAACCCACCAGTGCTTCCAGCAGCTCCACCGGCTCTGGTTCTCCCCATCTTCTCAATTTCAATCAAAACCACAGTTTTCCGGCCTCTACGCATCCTGGACCACATCTTCCTACTCCGCAATACGCCTACCCAAATGCGCCACAGCCAAACCCAGCTCTGAACGCTTTCAATACTCAGGCTTTCAAGCAAGCAGCCGCGACAGTTGCAGCACACAACAACGCACTCAATCAACCCCCAACATCATCACCGTTTATACCACCCGGCACCTCTGCCATGCAACTTACTCCAACATCTTCTCCAGCATTTGATCCATTCATCGCAGCCAGAGAAAGCCGCACCAGCTGAATCGCCTCCACCTTCCCAGCAAACACAAACAAGTCTAAGCGAGGACGCACGGTGCCTAGTGGAACCATCTCTAGCCGTCCACGAGGCCGACACAATTCAAATACACCTGCATATGATGCATCTAGTCCGGTTATAACCGTCCTCTGTGGATTCGAAACATTCAAGGCTTCGAAATGGGCCAAGCAAAGGCTACTTTCAGTCTCTCGAACAATTGATGTTTACCAACCTGATGCTTATGAAGATTTGCGATTGGACCTTTGGAATCATTTCCTTGATGTGTTTGTTCCGAATGATATCATTGACCGGCTTGACCCATCTGGTTTTGCTTTCACTACTTTGGGCAGTCAGGATGGCTCATTGACCAACAATGATCTTCAATGGTGGTTCTCACAAAACGGCTCAATCAATCTCATCTACGATCATTCTCGACACGAACATAGTCTGAATCAAAAGAAGACGGATCCCCTCAAGCTTCTAGCTCATGTTACCCCTGTACCCGAAGCCACGTCTAAGCATCCTAAGATCGGTCGATGTAGTAAGCATAACACTCACCTTGTGTAAACCCTTTTTGGAAACCTTGTTCTGACTATAACCTCAGACGCGTCATTATCTTTGCTCTATACCACCGCCGACGGGACCGTTCAAGGTGTTGAACGTTATGGACGCTCTACTGAACCATCATTGGTATACACACTCCGTGCCCTTGATTGGATTTCTGGATTGCAATGGACAGTTGAGGACAATGGTAATACAATCGATTCAGATTTTGCCGCCTATCGCTGGAACTCGGACATCGAAAAAACAGGTCGGACTCACTATGTTCGCTCCATTGAGATATGGCACCCCGATGGCCCTATGAAATTTATCAGCAAGACCGCAATAGCCAATCATTTTACCCTTTGGACAGCCGCAGCGACCAACACAACACGTCTTTACACCGCGGTACAAATTCTACTTCAGGAATTTGTTAAATATGCGAAATCTATCCCGGGTCTTTCGAGTCATACTGAAATGTACGAAACAATCAACAACTTACGTGTAAGTCCACATTTGACCTCCCAAAAAGATAACAATTGATCACTGACCTTTTCTGCATCTTAGCTGGTTGAGCACACGATCATCAGCTCTGAAACACAAAATGAAGATGATGAATTCATCAGATACCCAGACACTTCGGAAGATAATGAATCCAACATAGATTCTGGAGGGCCCAAGGATGTGATGTTTGTTGAAGAAGCTTTAAACACGCCTTTAGTTTCTTTTGCAACTGCCCACTTCTTTGGTTTTCCTATCATTGACGATCCCTCCACATGCATTATCTCAAGGACGCCTTCAGTCATTGGACTTATCAGGAAAGCAAAGGTCAGCGTTTTGTGACCGAACTACGTGGGTCTGGTCACGTTGTTACCAACCCTCAAATCCATGATCTCAATCCGGCGTAAGTCAAACTGTTCTCATTCTTTTATTTGGAGTCTGCGCTGAATCACTTCCCTTGCAGAAATATTTGGGGAAGCAGGAACGGCCGAGCAGCGGCTGTAGCCCTCATGACCGATCAGCACCAATGTCGGCTGGGCTGCCAACTACTTCAACTCCCAAAGATGGTCCGAATCCATGTCCAACCACCCCAGGTTGACCTTATATGGCAACACGCACAGAAGCTACCTAATGGTGATAAGATCAATCACGGTCACGTTGATCTGCCCACTTACTTGTCTCAATTAGTGCGCCCAGTGGCCCGCAAGCCTCCTACACCCGCTCAGATTCTATTTTGATTTTATCTCCATTCTTTTTCATATGTACATACTCCGCCTGTATATAACATACGCAATCTGTATCCATCTGTACCAGAATCTGTTCATATGCGTGTTTTTGGACCAAGCTTCACGCATCTTCATATACCCTCTATCCGCCGAGAAAGTCCATGACAGGCTCAATTCTAAAAGCCAAAATGACAGCCAAAACAATCAAGTTCGGTCTTGAAAAAAATGCGCAGAACCAACAAAGCATGTGATCAATGTACTCTCAACCAATGTAGCCTCTGTCAATTTGTATCAGTTTTCGAATATATTTTTTGTGAGCTGTGGTGATCTAGTGATCTAGGATTTTGCAAATCAAAATATAAATAAGATTTATGTGATGACCACATGCTTCTCTAAGACTATACCAACACCAAAAGCTTCTACTCTGATATCACGGCGCTTTTCAATTTTGTTCAACATATACAAAGGACACTTCAAAGGCAATTAAGTGATTTTAACATTATCAAACAAGTGGTCTATTTACAAAATAAGTATATGTACACTCAGTCATGTGTGGGTTCACATCGCCTCTGGCCAACAAGTGTGTTACAAAGAAGGGCATTTGATGACCTATAGTGGATCCAGTCCACGCTGTCTTCGGCTCCTCCTCAAAGTTTTCGTTTTCTTCCCCGTTGTGAGATGAACGAATTGAATTGCAGTAGCCTGAAGTCAGTGTGAGATGTCAGTAATTCGCAGATCATTGCTTCAGCATCAGTCGGTTGCTGACCTGTATCTCCCATGTGTTCATCACATACGACACCACATTACCATGCAGACTGATGAGGTTACCGACTGCCAACGCTTTGATTAGTGTCAAGTTGATGTTGTCCAGCAAGTAGTTCGCGTGGAAATCAAGACGGTGTGTTTGCTGACATCGAGGATTGATAAGTTACATGAATAGACAAACACCACGGTAGGTACACTACTCACTTCGGGATTCCAGCATTGATGCAAAACCTTTATGACTTTAAAGGTATTGCCAGTTGTGCGCCTGAATGACAAACCAACTATCCGACCAACACCTTGAGCACATGTTCTATTGGCCAGGCGGTTTGGGAGGACTTGAGCATGGTCGATTACGATAGTGCTTGCCGCTTTCTCAAATAGCAGAGGTGTGTCATGAAATTCACTGATCCCGACTTGCCCTTCAATCCTGTAAGCGTTCCTTTTTTTGATTTCGCACTCATCCCGCCTGCAACGCAGCAACAGATACGGTACTGGTGCCGTACCTGCGGTACTGGTACCGTATCTGATTACACGGTACCCTGAAAAGCGGTACCTAGTACTGTAGCTGGGCTCAGGTACAGTACCTGGTGGTTGTGACCACCTTACGCTCTGAGAGCCAGTACTGTAACCTTGGTGCACGGTAGGTACGGTACTGTACCGGTACCGCGCTGAAAAACCTAGTTACGGTACAGTATTGTACCGGGTCAGGTACCCAATGGTACCTAGGCTAGTACCTGATAAAGTATCTTATCACCTCAAACTCATTTCAATCCAAAGCATCAAAGATAACACATAACAAAGGGAATAAAACTAAACAAGAGAAGGATAAAAGAGAAAAAAAGGGCAAAGACAAATATTAATAAGACTGAAATATATTAACCTCGCCGCTTACGCGCTTTTTGATCATTTGCTAAACACTTTTTCATGGCATCAGTTGCCTCTGTAAATTTCCCTTTCATCTCCACCCCTTCTACAGACCACATACGACCTGAAACCAGCCGTTCAATTGGACGTGGCAAGAGTGAGCTCCGGTCGGCTGTGCAGACGTCGGCAGCGGACGAAAATGTCCTCTCGACCGGGCATGCCGTAGCACTTATCGCCAAATAATCCCGTGCAAGGTGGCTGAGGATAGGGTATTTTCCCTCGTTTACCTGTGAATCAAATGTAGTCAGTCAATGAAATAAGTTGAATAAGATACTTGTCATGTTCAATCAGTACTTACACTCCACCATGCGAGAGCCAAATGGGGATTATCCCCAACTTCAGGTGCAGGTTCTTCAGCCATCTCTAAGTAAGATCGCAGCTCATTGGCGGTGTTCCGTCGATGAAGCTCTTTGTGACGGCGAAACTCTTCATCCTTGGCAGCCAAGCTCTTACCATGCCCTGGAGTTTGACCGTTTCCAGTCGCTGTTGATTCGTAAGGTCCATTGGCCTCAATTTCCCCCTTCTTGTTCTCATAAGCACCTTCTATCAAAGACTTCGCCAAAAGAGTCTCAGTTGAGCCGGATCCAAAAGCGAATTCGAAGTAATCCAATCGTAGACTCGGGTGTAGAATCGTAGCCAAGTTGAGAGTGTGAGAAGCAAGAGCTTCCTTGAGATAAGCTTCAACACGTACTAACATAGCGTGATACATTGGAAACAGTGGTTTGGCCCGCGATTGAGTCTTGTCGATCCTCTTTTGAATCTTCTTCTTAAGCTTGACATATTCACGTATGACAAGTGATCCCGTGGGTCCGTCTTGTTCAAAGAATTTTGTTAGACTCTCGAAATCCTGACATCAGAAAGAATAGGAATCAACATTTGATTTTGATAATTGTTAAGACAAAAAACAAGGAACTCACCTCAAGAATCTCCATAAGATCTCGCACCTGTCGCCATTCGTCTGGTGTTATCATGACCTTGTTGAAGATACCTCGGGGTCGAAAAACATCAGGTGGTAAAGGGGTCTCACCAGGACGGCTTGACTCCTTCCCTTTACGCGGTGGGTCCATTTGATCCTCTTTGAGGATTTGATCAATGACCTGATAAAGAAACATTTAAATAAAGTGGGGAGTGATTGGTATCAGAATAGAAAAGTATCCTTACCTCACGTGCATTATAGAGCCGAGACCAACATTGCAGCTTTATATTCCACCTGATACCGTAGCCTGGAATTGGACGTGGCAGCCGCTTATCAAGCATGGCCTGACTGAGTGCATCAAAAAGGCAGCACATGACTGCAGAACCTCCAATTTTTCATCCAATGACATCAAGCTATGTTTTTGGAAATCATTATTGATCAGTTTTAAAGGAATAGACAAAAAAAAACAGGTCAGCTTACTTTGGTCATAAGGTTGAACACCGCATTGGCTTCGTTCCGATCGGTGGCAGCCTGGGAATCAATGTCTTGGAGGGTGATCTCAGGCTCCGGATGGGGACCATCAGCAACATTGTACCAATCAGTCGATTCTTGAGCTTGAGATTTTCGGAGGTCAGTATCATCCACCTCATCCACCTCGTCCAAGTCGCCTTCTTCTTCGATAGAGTTGGATGATTCTTCTTTCTCGGCTGATTTGTCTTCTTCGGGGATGGATTGTAAGGTGTGTGTTGGTATAGGGAAATCACCTAATATTGAAGATTTGACGAGAGGAGGAGGTGGAGCTTGGATTCCAAGGGATTGAAGACCGGTGTTGACCATGAGCGCTAGCTTGTGACAGATGCATCGCACTCGGTGATTCTCGTGATTCCATTTAAACGTCTCATCGCGATCACTGCAATACTTACTAAGTCGAACTTGCATCGCCTCAGCTAAAGTGTTGTTATTGCTACCTGAATCGTGGGTCTGCGCCAGCATGTAAAAAAGAGAAATGCATGGGCAAGGTAAGGATATGGAAAGAAATCTAAACGACAAAACAATTAAAAAAAAGAGAAAATGGACTCATCTTCTTATGAATCCCATGCTTTGTAAGAAGATTGATCAAAGGCTCAGCGAGCCAATCTCCTTTGTGGTGCCAAGCTATGAGCTTGAGGCACAGGTGACAAGTCACAAATCTCCAGTCCTTGTCGATGAATGTCACTGTGGCCCCAAGAAAGCCATATCGGTTACCCTTGGTGGTCCACGCATCGTGGATAAGTCCGAACGAACTGGTAAGAGACTGAAAACCAACGATGGATACAAATATCAATATGTCAATGTCATTATAAAGATTCAGAAGCTTTGAATGTGGACTTTACTTACCTTAAGTTCGTTAAATACTGTTGCTCGCATTTCCATGTAGGCCTCGTGAGCAAACTTAGCAACCCACATTCGGCCTAATAAATGTGCGTTTGGGTTAGCATAGCGGAAAGTTGCCCGTAGATACGGATCTTTGACTCGGCGCCAAGGTTGAGCTGTCCGGATGACCCACATCCCCAACATTTGGTTGAGGACCTTGTTGTCAAATTTTAAAACCGAGTGGGCGAAAGTTGTGATTGAAGTCTGTCCAGGTGAAGGGTTGGCATCCTGCTTGCGTTGCTCGCACTACACCAAATGTAATCTTTACCGGGCGGTAAAGAAAACTACTGACATAGAAAAGTCCTGAGGCAATAGGAAGAGATCTAAAAATCTGAAAAAATATGAACCTTGTTCCTAGATGTTGGGGCGTCATGATGAGTATTTTTTTGTATTTTACACACAGATATTGGTTTATGTACTAACAATAAACGCTGAAAATCATCAAAAACTCACATGTAACAATACCTGAAATTTGGGTCATGAGTATGAAGACAATATTTTGTGGTCTAAAAACTTCAATAACTTTTGCAATTCTGCTCCAAATAACTCGATTTTTGGTTCATTCAAAAGCTGAACTATTCTCCTTCACACTTCATAATGTTAGTAAGGTGCTATCTAGTCATTTAAACACTCTACATATGTTCAAACAGTTCTGCATGAATAGCTCTGTAGGATCTTTTAGACCAGCTACAGATGGA